ACTTCTCGCTAGTGCGTCAGCTCTTCCTGCCTGTGATCGACGTCGTTTTGAAGCTACTGCGGCCATCGTGCCGGACACTGAAGTTGAAGATGCAGACAAAGAGTGGCGTGTTGCTGTACTTCAGGCTATTCACTTCGCGCTGCGGGTCTCATTTGAGTGGCTGCCGCGTCTTTAGTCAAATGATCTGTCAAGCATATACTGACTTGCGTGCGTGAATCAGGTACGAGCGCCAGCTTTGGGACTCGGGATGGGAAAATCGATCTGGCAAAGGCCATGGTTCAGATGGCGGTTTGATAACACTTCATGGAGGTACGATTGGAGTTGTTGTTCTGGACATGAGTGATGGTGTCGATGATGAACGCACGTCTGCAGCCAGCGCCTTACCTTCCATTTTGATTCCAGGCTTGTTCGAACCAGACAACAAACAGCCAGACTCGGGCATTGTGGACATAGGTCGGAAGTCACTCCAAGTGGACATCGATGCGACGTGAGCCTTCTCTCGACTGAGCAACGGCAGACACTCGATGCAGCCTTGTCACAAAGTTCACTCGCAGTGATTGTTGTTGTTGTTGAGTGTGCGCTCTTCAGACCACGACCCAAAGAAGTGACACTCGAAGTCGCAAGTGAGTTGTCAGACGGTAATGATGTGGAAGCCGCCAGCGAATCAGATGCCACGCCACCCCTCTACGCATCAAGCGAGTCTTCTGATGAGATGGAGCCTGCGATCACAAGACATGATCCTTTTCTTGACGATGACATTAGCCACGACGCACTGGTGCGTGCACGCTGGGAGTTTCGGAACAAGGATCTTGTCTGGCTCGTCGAGAAACTAGTTATCTCCGGCGTCGTATTGAGTTTGAAATTATTGTGTCGATATACCCAGGATGTTTAAGAACACACGGCCGCTCCTAGGCAATTTGGCGCACGGCAAAAGGTGGTCGCGATGCCAAGCTTGTTTGTGGGGTTGGTGGCGGACCACTGGCGTGGTGCGCCGGGTTGCGGACCACCTTCACTCTTGCTTCCGAAAAAAAAAAGGACGGGTCGCCTCTCTCTGCACCCTTCGAACAGCTTGTCGTCGGTCCCCTCTCCATACCACCCGTGGCTCCACGATTTGGGGTTGGGGAGCCTGGTTTCGCACTTCAGCGGGTCGGGACCATGGGCAAATTGAATTTTGTGCATGAACGTCGTGCAGAACGCCACTACATTGTGCTCGAGCTCACGACGGAGCGCGCTGTCAGCTACGAGGGCGACGGCTCCTGGGAGGTGATTGGCTCATGCGATGCGTATGCCTGGTGCCTCAAGTTTTTGCAGTTAACACCAGAGACCGTGCTGTCTGTGTAGGTCGCCACCGTTGACCTCTGCGATGGCCGAGCACCCACATGGATCAACGTGCCGAATTGGCGAATTTAAAGGCTTCGCAGATCTCGATCGAACGAAAGCGCCTGGATTTGTGCATGATAACATATGGTTCCTCCTGAATGTTGACCCTGCTGTGGAGGCACTTCGCTTGTATATTGGTGGTGAGGGGCGTGGGAATGGCAACTCTGCCTTTAGGGTCCTGATGCAGCAGGCCTACGTTGCTTCGAATGTTGACGAATTTCGTCGCCCTATTAAGCTGCGTGAACGTTTGATTGAGACTGAGGGACCGGTAAGTCAAATCTGTGTCATTATGAGTGTGGTCTTGACCCACGATAGCCATTACGGTAGGTTTTTACTCTGAACCTG